TTACCGGCCTCAAATCCGTGGACTACGAAACGCGTCTCGCGATGCTTGATCTCTTTCCCCTGGAGTACCGTCGCCTCCGAGGGGACCCAATTTTTACTTACGCCCTGTGTGAACAAAGCTTGGCAAACAGGTTTTTTACCATTGACCCAGCAAACACCCGGCGAGGACATAGTAAGAAAATTTTCAAGCTCAGGGCACACATTCATTAGACAAAACTTTTTTTTTCATTTCGGGTAGTAGCTGCGTGGAATGACCTTCCTCCGACGGTTGCACACGCTCCTTCTCGAACCCAATTTAAAGCACCATTAGAAATTTATTTATGCGAATTCTCGCGCTGGCAAGCATACTGCTCTGCGCTGAGAACATAAAGAGCAGTGCTACACCCTTTTTTCACTTGTGCCTTTTGAACGAACGACAGCCACTGACCGACAAGAACAAAACCGGCCCGGGAAACTTGGGCAAAAGCCTCGATCCTGTGTATCAATCCGTGAGTGAAAAGTAGTGTATCAATCCGTGAATCCGTGAAAAGTACTCAGATATAGTTGATCGCGATGTTCCACAAGCTGAGCGCTAAAATGCCGCACTGATGCTGTTGGTACTCTAGTAAGGCGTAAGGTAGCTCAGTAGGTGGTTTTGGTGGACGCGTTTCACATCAGGGTCTGTTGTGACTTGGTGGTCGGTCGTGCGTCGGTCTTTGGCTTCCTGCTCCACTCACCATGGCATATCAAAAGGCACGATATCTTCAGACAGCTCTTTATGGAGACAAAGGAGCATTATTACCAGTGTATCAGGGAAATCACAGAATGTTCCACAAGGTCATGCTAGAATCTCCGTGAGGGGACGAGAAGCGTCGAACTGGTGATGGTCAATCCAGTTTGGCTGGCAGTCTGGCCAATCGAGGCATGCCCTCATTTAGTCCGTAGCCCGGACGTGACACATGTCGAATTGATGTTGCGGTTCGGTTACTAGGGCCGACTGGCATCCGGACAGGGTCCGGGAGCTTCTCAGGAGGCAGACGAGGTGTGCACATTTTTCGCGCCCCTATAAAGCGCAACGAACAAGTCTGTTCCGAGTTCCCATGAGTGTTCCAGAACGAGCGATGGTCAGTACTTGACTCTCCATTTCAGTGCCAGACGACTACCTAAGTGAGCCTTAGCCGCGCTGACGCTACCTACATGCGCACTCTTGTCCGTTCGTCAGCAACCACAGCACTATGTGAATTATCATCCTGCCGCAACAAGGTGCCCCAAAACCTGCTTACATGCAGCAGTCTGTTTTCCAGATTGTCTCTGAATGCGAACGTTAATGACTGAGTTTTGGGTGTGAAGGATGACTTCGAGATGTCTTCGGCTGCGACGTCCGAGACAACCGTGGATAGTACAGCTAACCGCAAGGAATGGTGAATGGATGTCAGTTCTTAAGAATGTGTCTGCGTCGTGTCTTTAGAAACGGTGATTAGGGTGTAAAGAACAAACCTTTAAAAGAGAAAGAAGAAGGCCTCAGCAGTAATCGGCTTCCGCTTTTTTCCTTGCTGTATGCAGCAAGTGCGGCAACTTGGCTCGTGGCACCACGCGACGGCCGATGGTGGGTGAGCCTCAAGGTTGTACGTGGGCTAGATAATGCCAGAGTGCCCAGACGATTAGGGTCCTTGGTCAAAGCGTTTGGCTCAAAACCTGGCATCAAGGTAGCGTTGGTTACAATAAGATTGTCAGGGCAGATTACATTTTTGGGGTTCAAGTCGCCACACCTTCCGGCACCAACCTGGAGGATCATTAGGCTGTTAGTCAGGCTGCTACTCATTGACGAGCCTTTAATGAGAGACATCCGCTCCCAGGTATAGCTCATTGGGTTATGAATGTGCACAAGCTGTTACACCGCTGTAAGCTCTAGTTTTTTCATGGTGGACTTTGATCCATTTGCGGAAACTTTCCACCTCCTGGACCTTCACTACCCAACGGCGCTCTGTCTATCCCTAGGAAATTCCCTGTGCGTTTGTTGCCGATATAAATATCCCAGTATCAGTGAAACCTGTTGGTCTTTGTGACATCCACTTTACGTTGTGGTTTGCCAGTTACCTCGGTCGGACGGTTTCAAATGCTGAACTAGGTTTCTTTCATCTCTAGTTCGAGCTGGATGAGTGGTTAAGGGGCGAACTTATTTACCGGAAGGTTCGTGGTTGGAACCCAACCTCTTCATCTCGACTTCCCCCGTGTATGCTTTAGGAGGCTAGTAGTGCCTCAGCCATGCTTCATTCGTGTGGCATGATAGGTAGACGCCGAAGGGGCGTTACAGCCGAACGATTATTTATTTATTTATTATTTATTCATCTCTTTTCCAACTCTCCTTGAACTCATCCTCATTACTGTTATGTCCGTGGGGTTCTGAATGACTTTTAGGCAGCGCACCTGTATTTCGTTGAGCTTGGGGAACACTGCACGTGGCGTACTGAATGGTTGTTCGCCCACCGTTGCACTCTTGAGGTGACGCAAATTGATACGTGGTTGCATAATACCGTATTACAAAGATATTGTGTAGTATAAAGCAAAGCCTTTTACCTCTAACTAGTACACATGTTAAGCTATACCACAGCTTAATCTTAATGCCAGGTCGCATCTGCGTAAATGCCGTGGAATCCAGTGACTTGTCACCAGTAGAACGCATCACATAACCCTGATATTCCTAGTATTCTCCCCAGTACGTTCGACGCCAGAGTGTCAGATATTTCTATTTTCGGTGCCTTTCTGCTGGTTAAGATAAACCTGTAAACCACACCTTTTCGTCCACCAAGGTGGTGCTTGACTCTATGAACATTTCCGAATCTGTTCTTTAGCGTCTACGCGAGACAAAAGGTGAGTCCTCCCGGACCCTAAATGGCTCTTCCCTAGAGGTCCGAGGTCCGAATTGTCCTGGTGTTTCCCTAACTAATTCATCACTGAGTCTATAGTGTTTTCATCAGATTGACATTTGCTTCCTATTGTTCTCAGCCAAACAGTTCGCACGAGGCATGGAAAAGTTTTGCTCGGAGGTTCCGAAAATAGTAAGTTTTGAGTTTGGCTCAACTTGCAGGAGTTACACGCACATCTTTCTGGAAGTATCTCACAAACGACTTTGCTCAACATACTTGGTGTGGATCAGTCAGAGAGTTTGATGAAGCGGGTAGCTCTGAAACAGGGTGATCAGCGTACTCTCGATGAGTGAGTGTTTACTAGGCTGTCATAACTACAGTAGATGTTTCGCATTGTTCCACCTTCTGCACAACGCGATCCGGAGTCCAGATATTGTCGAACGGGTGAGTATTCTTTCTTTGATAACCACCGTCCAATAGCCTTTCCCGGAGCCTCTTGGTTTTATCTCGTCAACAAATTCCAGCAGTCTGGAAAATATCGAGGGGTGTTGACCATGACTATTAAACAATCCCTCGTCCTTCAGTGATTTTCCAGGTGCGCCTTGGAAGTTAGGAACCAAATCCAAGTTCTGTTCTTGTGGTGCTGACTGGGCTGCTGTGGGATTTCGAAAGCGCGCTTGTGAGTCATTTAGGGTGATTGGATTTCACACTGTTGTGAACGCAGAAGTTCAGAAGTGTACAGGGAGTGCAACCAAGGTCCTCTGCTAGTTTGTGACGCAAGCTCCTTTTGTTTTCAGACGCGGCTGCCGCGGAACCTTGAAACAAGGACATGAGAGACCATTCAGTCCGAAATGAAGTGATCAATTCACATCAGGATGATTAGTCTAGATTCGCCTACTAGTTGAAAGTCATGTGTTCGTGCTACCCTTTCGGTGTGTAGTTGTCATGCCGCCCGAAGAAAGCACGAGGGCTGAGGTACTGTCAGGTTGTCCAAGCCTAGACAGGAACAGTCGAGATGCAGAGGTTGGGTCCAAACCACGGAACTTCCGGTCAGTAACTTCGCGCTGAAACATCTCGAGTCATCTGAAGATGATGTTGAACTCTGACACTGTTTCTGGCTCTTGCTCACCTTTACATTGCCGAGCCTAATCGATATTCCACATAGGGCTAAAATCGTACAGGACCCCAATATTTATCCAGCTTCCAGGTGAAGTTACTCAAAGCGGTCTTCTGTCGTATCTTAATTAAGAATATTAGTTTATAGTGGTAGCAACTGAAGAACATTGTAGGCATGATGTTAGTGCACCAGTACGTGCCTTGGGTGTGCAAGTCTTTTGCACATCTGGTACCTAGTTGAGAATTTACAGCCCGCCCTGACGTGAGCCGCTCCAAACACCCGCTGGAATCAGAGTAATTTAGTGTCGAACTTATGTGAAGCTATCTACATTGATTTTCTATTCCCTGAGGCGAGCTTTTTACTGAGGAGACGTTTTTGTACCTCCCGGCTACCTGATGGCGTTTCACTTTAGGCATGTTGGTGTATTCTCTGGACCGTTGAATTAATTCAAATGCTTTTGGTACTACATGATAGGCGTTAAGCCTCACTGATGGTCGGGACTCCTAACTTCACCCGATTTAGTTTGTTTGGTCCGTTCTGCTCACCATAAATTGCTATTTTGAATCTCTTGGGGAAGCTGAGTGTTAGACATTGATCTCGAGGAGGACAGCAACAGGAGAGCAGGTAGATATGCCGCTGCTCCCGTGGACCATTAACTCGGTTCCAATATATTCACCCTGATGCGAACCAATCTAGGTATATCGTTCAGCTGTAACATCTTTTCGGTGCCTAGCTACCACGCCACCCGAAAAAGGCATGACAGATCGGTTGCCCAAGCCTAGATGAGGGACAAAGTTCGGGTTCGAACCACGAACCTTCCGGTCAGTAAATTCGCGTTCTAACCACTGAGCCATCTCCCCCCCCCCCAATTTAGGTATATCAGCGTAGTCTCAAATTACAACCACAAGTGTATTGCTTTTGGATTTACTACGATGATAAAAATTTTCGAACCATATATTTCTTGTCTTCACAGGTTACCATAGACGTTGTTGAGGAATTCGCTTCAGATGGCGTCATTTACTTGGAACTGCGCACTACAGTCCGAAGTTTGCCAACTTACCGTGCCTACTTGGATGCTGTTTTACGGGGCCTCAGCAATGCATCTAGTATTACTCATGGGGAGATCGATGTCTGTCTATTGTTTTCAATTGATCGAGCTCGAGGAATAGATGATGCTTGGATGACTGTAGATCTTTTGAAAGAGTATGCACCGTCCTGGCCTGAGGTTCTCGTGGGTATTGAACTCAGTGGGAATCCTAAGGTAAATGCTTTTTTTTGCGCTGGGGGCCCATTTTCAAAGCCCATTATTCACGCCAATTGAGTTTCTTTTTTTATGCTCTCATTTCATCATTAGAACTGGTAATCGGGAAGAATAGCCGTTTTCATAACCATCAGTAATTGATGTTTCAGTTTGGGGACCAATAAAATGCACTCTTGACGGTTTTCTTTCCATCTGCCCGGCGGGACATATCCTGGCAACAGAGCGTAAACTTCACAATGAGCTATAGAAAACTTTCAAACATAGTGGAATTAAATAGAGACCCTTCCGAACAACTCGGTGTGGTTGGCTCTTGGAAATTTTTCTAAAGTGACTTACAATTTCCCTTTGAAACCCTCCAAAATGACCCGCTACTCATTGTTAAAGGAGTCCAACCTACTGCTTTCTCGTGGCAGAGGTTTTCACCAAGGCAAAAGGCTAGAGTAGGTGTCCAGCGTCTCGATGGTGTTGATAAAATATGCTGTCTTCCTTGGGGAATTTATGAAAGCACTTATTCGGAACCACTACCAGTTATCGTCTGATGTAGTCTTATACCTACTGTCGGACAATACCCTGAAGTTAGAATCAGCTCCTGGTAATCGATGAGCATCGATGTGCCGTCTAGATCTCCCAGGTGTCCGGACAATGAACTGAAAACATTTCCCAGTTCTCAGTAGGCTGTGAACTCAGTGCTTTGCCTGTCTGCATTGCTGAAAAATCATTGAATTGTGAGCTCCGAGTGGATTCTCCTAAGATCACCTTCTCACTCGTACTGGTCATCCTGAAAGTATACATTGGGGTCGAGGGTTGTTGTATTAACTGAAGGCTAGAAGTATCGACAGTTTTTTTGTATTTGTATGATAACCAGTTAAATGATGTCACCGCTACTGTTTGTTCCATCCTGTTTGAGAGACTTTTGTGTGTTCGCCCGTCAACCTTAGCGAACTTGCGCATAGCATTGCATCGGGATGCGTGCTACATGTCTGTATTCGTTCCTATGTACGCAATTGTCTGGTCGCCTAATTTATGGCGCCCGTTACTCATACATAAGTGGTGATTTTCGTGCAAGTTAATCTCAAGCGCTGGTCAGCTGCTCGTCAAACTACGGGATCGTGCGTTCTCCCTAGAGTTTTGTGAGATGTGCACTACCGATGATCCCCAGTAAGTATGAAACGGCTGTACAGTGCTTCTCGATTTCGGTTGGTTCTACTTACCGGACGGAATCTCATTTGGAGAATTCCATATATCCACACAATAAAGACAGTCTGTAAGCACAGCGGATGAAGGACAATCTCACAAGATGGATGAAACTTCCATTTGAGAAGTCATCGCCCGAGAAGCCAGTCAACGTGCGATCACCTTATATGGATTTCGTTATTGAACGATAAGTGATGCTCTATCCTGTATAAGTGAAAGTTAATCACATGCTGATCATCCGTTCTTGGCCGAACGGTCAACTTTTTGAACTACTAGCTGAGAGATCGCGATTTCGAAACTCGCTAGATTTTTGTGAGATACATACCGCTGATGACTCCCGAAAAGGATTAAACAGCTGTACAATGCCGTACACCGTACTGTGCACTTTCACGGGTGAGACAGGTTCGCGAAAGCTGCTCTGGCCTTCTTAATCCGGATGGAAATATCGCCTTTCACGAGACAACCTGGACTGATACAGCTGCTCAGCTAAGCAAATTAGTTTACTACTTCGGGGGCGAGATGGCTCAAGTGGTTAGAGCGCGAGTTTACTGACCGGAAGGTCCGTGGTTCGAACCCGACCTCCGCCACTCGACTTCCCCTGTCTAGGCTTGGGCAACCTGACAGTATCCCAGCCCTCGTGCTTCCTTCGGGTGGCATGGCAGCTAGGCACCGAAAGGGCGCTACAGCTGAACGACTTTACTACCTCAGTAGGTTCGTCCGCAAACATCAGGTTAGGGTTCGAGCCCACCCGCTCTTGCAGCAGCACTTTGCAGGTATGAAGCGCATGCCAAACCATGGGGCAGAATTATTTGGATTATTTAATATCGTTTGCATTACAACGGCGTTAGATCCAAGACGAGCTGTTGCCTGCGTACACGATATCTACGAGTGAATGCCCCGGGAGAACTTCGACCATACAGACATTAGAGGCTGGTCGTGAATTCTCCATAATCTTATCGATGGCGGAGTTGAAAAGGAGGGATGACAGAGAATAGCCTTGCCTGACACCAATCGATTTAGTAAACTCAGGGAGAGCTTCCTGTAAACTTTGACGCGCTTGCGGGAGGTGACGTACAGCGCCTTGAGGAGGGCCAGGAGTGTATGGGGAACACTTTTGCTTCACTGAGGCTGCCATAGTGTCTGACGGTTAAGAAAGTCAAAGTCAACTTTCAAGTCAAGGAAGACAACCATTGTTGGGCGCTGGAAACAGTGTCGCTGTCCCAGAATCTGTCGGAGGGTGAAAACATGATACATACATCCTCTTGCAGGACGAAACCCAGCTTGGTCTTCACGGATCTTTCTCTCCATGTTCATTCAACCTTCGAAGGATAAGGCTAGAAAGCACCGCTGCCAGAGCTACCAGGATGATGCCACGGTGGTTTTCACACGGCATCCGTGTACCCTTTTGTAGGATGGGAAGAACTTTCTACATACCCCATTCTGCAGGCCCTTTCTCTTTACACCATATCGCACCAGTGAGCTTTGTTAGATGGGTCACCATGGGTTCCTTGCCTTTTAAAGAGGGATGGATACAGACCGTCCATTCTTGATGCCTTCACACGTTTCAGTACAGATAGTTCTTACTATCCCGATGGGCGATTAAAGTTTACATTCCATTCACCCGTATGCACTACCTCCAGATGCTGTTTGCAGAAAACCGGCTAAACTGCTCTTCGAAGTGCTCAGTCCATCCTTTCAGTCGACGTTTTTGCTTTCCCAGGGCCCGTCAGTCGTAGCAGTTGATATAAGGCACTGCTGTTTCCGATAGCAAAAACCTTCTCCATCTCCCGAGTTTTTGAAGTCCACCAGAGCTCTCGATCCTGTCTTAGTCTACTTGGCGTTTTAGGGATTTGCGTGTGCCGTCGTACTCGTATGAATTTCCTGGTGTCAGCAAGGACTAACGATCTGGATGACAGCCAGTGGTCAGTTGATTGTACCGGAGCAGTCGGACAGATAGCACTGAACGCTGCTAGCATACCTTCTTTCACATTTTCCCATGCTTCATCCACGTGCTCATAACTCCCTGTGTTCGTATCTTTTTTCCTGCATATTGTTGCATTTTTTTTATTCAAACATCAGATCGGCAATCTCCTTGATTTCGTCGAACCATTGAACTGTGTTCAAGCACTTGGATAGCAAAAACCTTCTCCATCTCCCGAGTTTTTGAAGTCCACCAGAGCTCTCGATCCTGTCTTAGTCTACTTGGCGTTTTAGGGATTTGCGTGTGCCGTCGTACTCGTATGAATTTCCTGGTGTCAGCAAGGACTAACGATCTGGATGACAGCCAGTGGTCAGTTGATTGTACCGGAGCAGTCGGACAGATAGCACTGAACGCTGCTAGCATACCTTCTTTCACATTTTCCCATGCTTCATCCACGTGCTCATAACTCCCATGTGTCGTACCTTTTTTCCTGCATATTGTTGCATATTTTTATTCAAACATTAGATCGGCAATCTCCTTGATTTCGTCGAACCATTGAACTGTGTTCAAGCACTTGGTCTCAAGACTAGCGTTCATCTGGCTGAGTTACCGAACGAAGGTGAACAGTGGCTGGAATTTTTGCAGTGCCACACACCCGATCGCATCGGTCATGGGACGCATCTGCCCACACCAGATACTCCCGGTGATGATACACCTGCGTTCAAGGCCAGGGACTTGATTTTAAGCTCTCGTACTCCTATTGGTAAGTGCACTGCTGAAATCAGCTGAGTCGCACATTCTTCTTCTCAAATTCCTACTGTTCTATATTAGTACCGACCTTGAGGAACAGGGAAGAAACGAATTTTTCTGGTCGGATGGTTTTCATTTGAGGTCCCGTTCAACAGGTAAAATCGGTCTATATTGAAAAATCTAAAATCACTTTTGAGTTGTTTCATCCCTGTTCGGAATCACCATTGAAATGTGTGCCTCACGAGTCTCCGGGCACTTGTAACCCTCCGGCTATTAGTCGAACACCAGGTTTTATTAATTCGTTTCTATTTCCTCCGAGCAACCGTTGACAGCACCAACTTTTGATGTATCATCACCGGAATGAATTCTTTTCTAAGCACTCCGATGTGGTATCTTGTCACATCCAAAAGCTTGTCTATTTGTACGGGTGGATGATGAAATTTTCCCTGTTCTCCACACGCCGGTTTACCGTCCGCTTCACCAGAGAAGTTGGGGATGTTGAGTGAGTCCCCTGTTGGGTGTCGATTGTCGGGCGAAGGAAGACGGCTTCCTAGACATGCGTGCCCCATTCGAATTGGACAGAATACCCCATTTTTTCAGGTGATCGTGTTAACTGCATATGAGTTTCCTGACAGGAATTGTACGAGGGCCAGCGGGCAACTAAAAGTGAGCTACTTAGGCTATAAGTTGACACTTTCCACTCAAAAATCCCTCCCAACCCGGCAGCCTCCCAACCCTCGTGCTTCCTTCGGGTTACACGGCAGCTTTGCACCAAAAAGACTTTACTGCTGAACGATTATTATTATTATTATTATTATTATTATTATTATTACTATTATTCCCACTTGATGTCTTCAGGACTAATGAGGAACAACATTGTGATGGGATTGCCTCTGCTTGAACCCATACACGCGATCAGTCAAACAGCTCTTTGACCGCAGATCACTGGAGAACACTTGACTCATGCAATTTTTACTTTTGTGAACACGGTCATTTTGTTCCCTTGTTACTTGAAGTGGAACTCTGTTCATGGCGGCCTATTTTTCCGTCATTGTGCACAGCATATTGACGCAAACATCTTTATGGATGGGATGGTCGTAAGAGACGCTCTGTTTGCTGGTGAATTCGAATCGCGCAGCACGCTCAACCTCGATTGGGAAAGGATTAGGGGAAAAAATGAAAATAAAGACATTCTGCGCGCGAAGCATAGTCACAAACCTCATTCCGCGGTGCGTTTCGAGTTTCACCACAATCGACAGGCGTACAATAAGTTTTTTGGCCACAGCCTAACTTTCTGGGAGTGGTGGATTCTCTATCTGTTTTCGTGTTAATGTGCACTATGTCTCCACATTTAACGGCTCATTCACTGTTCCATTTTCCGGTCGCACAGAGATTTGCCTTACCTCAAACATCGTGTGTGAAACCGAGCTCACTTACGAGTCCCATCATCTTGCTTCTTGGGTTCAAGCTGGTCACCCGGTCTGCATTTGTGTAAGTCTTTCCTCGTTCATCTCTTTTTTTCCGCTCCGTAATATACATGTATCCATAATAAAGAAAGATGATTTCAGACCGGTTAATGCGCGAACCATCTGTGAGTAGTTTGGGTACCCAGTCAACCAATTTGTCTGCTATAAACCATGTGCCAAGAGTACATTGGTTCAAGCTACTATCGTATTGGTCGCCGGGAAATGAGACATAATGGGTGATATATCCACACACTAGTGGCATGATCAAATTGCTCGGGAAACTGGGCAACAACGTCTTGAAGGTGACAGCTTTGATCCACGAGAGTCATTGACTGCGTGTGCTCAGATTTGGATTTCTTGCTTATGGGACCTGTGATTTAAGGCGAGGACTTGCCCAGTGAACATCATTTCCTATCCCACCGGCTCACTACATACAAGTGGTGTAGTGCCACCTGTGGCTGCGAGGAAAAAACTGGCCATATGGATGAACGTCATACAGTAGTATTGAGCACTTGTCAAGGTCTCGGTGAACATTGCGTAACAGTGCGTTACTTCGTTACACTTTGCCTTCATCGTCATCAAGTCGTGATACAACTATGCTGTTCCATACCACTGTGCTAAACTGTCGACTAAGCTGAACCGAATCATAGAAAGCGTGGTGCCGCCTCAAGGTGGTTGGGTAACAATATTAGTCACGTCGGCCACTTCTCCGGGCTTGGACTAATGTTTTTTTCTGAAGACTAATATCTCCAGTTAGACTCTGGATCCATTTCTCTGGTGGGGATTTAGTCAAAAACATCTTTGTCGCGTCCCTGGGTGTGTCCCCTCATGGGTGACCGAACTATCCCCACGATCTCGATTCGATTCACACCACCAGGTTACGGAACAAGGTTGTGCAAGGAGGCCCCCTTGACTCTGGCATTCGTTGGGATTAGAGTGTCTATCCAACAACTATCCTTCGGGTAGTTACGTTCACCGTAACTTTTTTAGCTGGAACTTGTGCACAAGTTCACATTCCTGATACAGAAACGAAACGATGAAGACTAATATCTCCAGTTAGACTCTGGATCCATTTCTCTGGTGGGGATTTAGTCAAAAACATCTTTGTCGCGTCCCTGGGTGTGTCCCCTCATGGGTGACCGAACTATCCCCACGATCTCGATTCGATTCACACCACCAGGTTACGGAACAAGGTTGTGCAAGGAGGCCCCCTTGACTCTGGTCATTCGTTGGATTAGAGTGTCTATCCAACAACTATCCTTCGGGTAGTTACGTTCACCGTAACCTTTTTAGCTGGAACTTGTGCACAAGTTCACATTCCTGATACAGAAACGAAACGATGCCCCTGGATCGCAGTTTACGGCTTCCCAGTATTTCTCTGCGCGTGTTCACTGTTAATACTGAGGAGCATATGAAAATCGACAGTCATGTGTCCCATGTAAATCGTGTACCGACTACTGGATCTCTAGAGCTTTTATTGATTATTTTTTCATTCACAATGCCCTTCGCGATTGCAACACCCCACCTTCAAGGATACCGAAATGCATCCTCTGCAGGGCGGGTGACCAATATCAGTCGCCTCTCATACCTTCTTTGCTTGGCTAAAAGGAAGTCAGTTACGTATGTCAAGTTGCGCAAGTTGACTAATGGGCGTTATCCACCAATCCTTCGTGGGATTGCTAGACGCGTAAAACTCGACAAGTACTGAATTGATTGGCATAAACACACCCGTTCTACAATTCCCCATTTAAGCGATTCACTAGTAATAACTCAAAATTATTCATCTGGGGTCGTAACTATCGAGGGTCGAATCCCCGGTCGACTGAGGTTGTACCCTCCGTTCAGCCTTAACAGTAACGTAGTCCGAGAACAGTGTTTCCCCCTTTGATAATGACTGACTAGAATGATGGCGTCAGGACAGGACTGCCCAAACCAAATTTCAGTTTTTCGTCGCGGGGCTATTCGATTTTTCTCACAGTAAGATAAACTTTATAATGTGCGTGCAATTCATGGTCCGGCTATTTGGTGCTTTCACATATGCTTTATTGGGACATGCTGATGAACCAACACTATACACTAATGGCTCTCATTTTAACTGAATTATCCCCATGCTACCGAGCTAGACACGAATAGCAATCTCGGAGAGAAAGAGTGACAAAGTCGAACGGAATAAACACAGTCTTAATCCAAAGACTGCAGGGTTGCCGTAGATTTCTTCTTCCTATTGTTTGGCTCTTACTGTCAGTAGTGTGTGTGTGTGTGTGTGTGTGTGTGTGTGTGTGTGTGATGTTCCGACCTGCTTATTTCACTTTACAGGTGACTTCATCTTGGAGAAGGATGATCAGACTCCGAATCGCTAGTAACCATGAAGTGCGGTCAGCAGCCACGGCTGGTTTATTTTTCAGTACCCTGAGATCTAGTAGCCCAGCGTCATCCTTAACCGCTGTTTTCATTTTTCTCCCTGAACGATAGCGCTGAGGTGACTAAGACACCGGCGACGGGAGCAGTTGAATGGTTCGAAATCCGGTTTACGGAGAGCGTGTCCAACCTACCGCCGCTTGATCCGTTAGAAGATCTTGCATCAGATTCTATCCTGCATGAAGCTCTTACCGGACTAGCAGTCACCCCAAGAGAGACCTTCGAGGTTAGGTCACTTCCCCGAAGAATCTCTCCCAGGCCTCCGCCGAATATAAGCAATCCCTTCAGGCCACATAAACCCCTAGGTGGCCTTTCTAGGCCACACCATTCTATGACGTGCTTCGATATAAAATAGTATAGTATATTAGTAGTTAAGGGTAGCACAGCCTATTATATTATATAGCATTTCACAACTTAGTATAGCTTAGTTCTGTGTGCTATGGTGTGGTATAGCAAAGTATAGCACACTGTAGCATATTATACTGCAGTGCGGTATAGTGTAGTGCAGGACAGGATGGTACAATACACTGTAGTATGGAATACTATGTTTTATACAATATAGTAGTGGTGCTAATAATGTTAATCGCCTTTAGGTGAAGTAGCTGAGTAAGTAGCAAGAGGTGCTATTCAAAGTTTCACCTTGGGGTTTTTCTCAAAGGGATGTTTATTCTTCAGAGTGATATTGTTTCTCACAGACCCGTGGCAACTTAGTTTAGCCGTTGGTGACGAATCACCGTATCCAGGGCAGTGAACAAAGCAGCAGCCGTCGATATAAGCGGAACTACCAGTAGTAGTAGCATTCGTTTTAAGAAAGCGATGCAGCCAACTTGGCGTCAGCAGGCGAGACGTATACGACACCGTTTTTTGAGGTGACTCACTCATTCTATTGCGCTACCACTTAAAGACTCTTGTTCTACCCACCATACACACACACACACACGTATGTCATTGGGTCTTGGTTTCATGCTCATGCTTCATGGTTTATACTATCATGCCCCTTATTCCTTTCAATATATTTCAGACGGATGATAAAGGCATCTTTGGTTGTTCCTCGTCGAGCGAGCTAGTCAAAGCGGTTGAACATTGTGGTGTGTCAAAGTCACAACTTCGGCATATTTTGAAAGATTCCGCAAGAGCTGCATTCTGTTCGGAAGCAACAAAAACCAAGCTACTGAACCAAATCACTGCATTTTTTGACGCATGCGCCCTTTGACTAGTCAACTTTTTTTCAATTTTTAAACTATTTTCCATTGTTTTATGTGTATTTGTGAGGTGTTTTATGAACGAGTAAATAAATTGGAACTGAGTAAAGTTGGTTTGTTTGATGATAAACAAATAAATTCTTGAGGAACCCCCATATCCTGACACTTCGAATCACGACCAATCCTTATCTTCGGAATTGAATCCCCCCCGGAATTTATTTAACTAAGGAAGTGTATCTTAGACGATTCTGTGCCACGACTTTCATTTCTTGCTTTTTTGAGAATGCTATCTGGATCCAACTGTACTTGGCGGTCGACAATAGTCCCTCCAGTGGTGACCAGTTCACTCTTGTTCTATGAGATTTGACCTGAAATTCATACATTTTCATTGCCCACTCGCCAAATGCCACCAACAGTAACGTCGGTGAAAGTCTCTGGGCAGAAAATGCCCCTTCAACAAATACGAGGATGTGGAATCTACACAATACAATAGTCTTCGTTTGTTCGGACACGACTCAAGTAACTGGCCAGTAACTTTAAAGTATCGTGGTTCCCGCACGCTGATTGGGGTCCCGCAACAGGAGAGATCGAGGCAAGATATTCCGTTTTGTGGAGACTTATGAAATCCGTGAACGTGATTTTTATCTACGTGGCACACAAAGACTACGACTCTCCGTGTCCTCAACACCCACTCCTCAGATTAAATAACTTACGATTGGTGCCCTTGGATCTCCAATGGTTGGGTCTTTCTTGGTGAGTTGTTTTGAGCACCTTGCAACCTTACCACGCCTCCTTGCTTCATGGACGCCACATGAAAATATCGATCAGTAGTAGTCTTTCTCAAATGTACACAATTGTGTTTCGTGTTGACACAGCACTGGAAGGGGTTTATTTACGGGTTCAAATTGAAGTTCTGTTGCCAGTTGTCCCTAGGTGGTGGCCTTCCCAGAAGAGGCGTAGTGTGTTTCCGAAGAAATAAACGAACCTCCAGATTTTACGCTAGAAACGATAAATTTCCATGCGACATGCTAACACGTCTCATTTCTCAAAATACAACACTTTGTGATATCGAAATGAAGAATCTCTAGAAGTTCAAAAATGTTTGTTTCCGCCTTGTCATACTCACTAATCTTTCGATACCAATAACTTCGTGTTTCGCCCATGTCACTTTAGCCGAAGCTGTGAATGAAATCCTGCAAAATGTGAGGGTCTATTGCTCTTCATATAGGTCCTGTCAGCTTGGTTTTTCAGGTCGTCGTCAGAAAATAATCTTGCTGCTGCTGTGGCTTCGGACTCATGTTGCACCTCACTTCTCAAACTGATAGCGTTCGAAATAAAGGCTCCTCTTCGTCTGTCAGGGTAGTCGATCCACTAAGCCATCAGCTGTGGAAAAATTATCGGTTATGTCAAATCAGGTCCTGATGAAGCCATGCTTGTATGGGAAGCGTGAAGATTGCGAGTATAGCCTACTCCTAGTGCGTTTTCAATACGTTGTTCACCCTAGTGACTGCTCTGATTGTTTCGTAGACAGTATGTCCAGAAACACCAGTGTCGTCTCACCCTCGCTTGTGTTTGGTAATATACTAGAACCACTTTTAGCTACTAACACTCGGTCAGTAGCTCAGGTATAACTAGTGGATGCCGTCGTGGGCAAAAACGCAGAAGACAGCAGCTTTGCGTCTGACAGTGCCTAAAGCAGTCTTCCAGCATGCAGTGAAACTCGAGTCAATAAACTAGGATATTCGGTGTGGGCTACTTCTAATAAGAAAGAAAACTCCCCAAACCCGTTAATAAATATCTTGTGACAAGCATTTACCTCCTTATAAGGGTTGTATAGTATCACCGAGTCAAAATAGATGTCATTGGCTGTTGATCTTGGCAGCAAATTCAGTTGAAGTGAGAGATATTCAGCTGCAATTCAATTAGGTTTCTTTTGAAAACCAAGTTGGAATACAACTGAGTGCGCCTCCCGGAGATCCCGGCTGTTTCATACTATGAAGTAATGTGCCAGTTTTATTTGTAAACGTAGTTGAATGAGTTATTCTACCCCTAAATCTCGCCAAAGGCTGGACGACGCCACGCAATTCAACCTGCTGTATAAATGTCACGTGCAGCTTGATCCTGTAGGGCTAACAGCTCAGTCAGATTAGTCATTCTGTAGGTTCCGTCAGTTTGATAAACGCACTGCGGTTATTCTCATCAACGAAAAAACGTGGTGCGGTCGACCCCTTCAGGAGCCCCGACTGTGAAGTGCATCAGCAACCTGACTACGACAGGTGTGCTAGTTCCACTGCTCAACTACGTTTCAAGCTTGACAACAAGAACTAGTACGAGTGACCAGTTTACAAAATGTTCGGTTTCACAGTAGTTCAGGAGTGTTTTTCTCAATGTGATGAAAAAATCTGATGCCAACCGCTCAGAAAACTGCGACGGCGCCTGACGGAGCGACAGATAGCTTTCACGAGTACGGAAAGGATAGCACAACATCCGTTCAATTGAATGATAATTCTGGAGAAATTATCTTTTTGGCCTCTATTGTTCCCCATACATTGTGTGAACAGTACACCTCAAACGATCTTAAGTGATCAGTTAACAGTGAGGGACCCAAAGAGATATAGTGAATGTACTCAAATATCTGATATTTGTCCTCAGTTCGTTTAGATCCCCCCATGATCTTGTTGACGTTCTACCTGAATACACATTTAGAAGAATACCACTGTGACCGAGTTCTCGCGCGTCTTTCAGTGGGGCGAGCAGCCTTGCGATCCGTTTTTCATTTAAACCGCTTCGTTCGCAATGTACTGTTTCAGCAAAGTTTATTTCCCTTCTTATTTGTCTGTCTTTCGTCGGTAATAATCGTCCTCGTATATAGACTTGTTGATTGACCTTGAGTGAATTCCTTTGAACGGTCAAATAAACAAAATGGACAATTCTACTTCATTTTCACCTTGTATCATTCGCAAGCCATTGGTTAAAAAAGTCAATGTTGGATGGAATTTTGGTCTATCTTCTGTACGTTGAACTAGTCGTCACCACTCGATGTGACATCTTCAGGGTATAGTCCAGTGGTGCTACGTGTCAGCGTAGCGATGTATCTGTGTTTTGGACATTAGCAGTGTTGTGCTCAAGTTTTCGCTGACCGAGAAATGGCTTTCGATTATGCTTGGTAGTCTGTACGGTGGATTCCGCTGGGAGGATTGCTGCCTGATTCATCGACTGGTCGGCGTTCAATTGACTTATGGAGTTGATGACTCCTACTCAGACTAGGTGGCGTTTGCAAGTCGACCCTCAGATGGCCACAAAAGGGATGTTGAGGACCGTTGGACTTGATTCCGCTGGGAGGATTGCTGCCTGATTCATCGACTGGTCGGCGTTCAATTGACTTATGGAGTTGATGACTCCTACTCAGACTAGGTGGCGTTTGCAAGTCGACCCTCAGATGGCCACAAAAGGGATGTTGAGGACCGTTGGACTTCTGGGGAAAAATTGTATATGAATCATAGCATTTGTCCGTATAGTTAATTAGTTTTGGCCTAAGTTTCAATTTCAAGTTCTTTGCGTCCCATTTCGTGGCTCTGTGGGATTCGGCCGTCTCAGTAGTTCGTATTTAACTCGTCGGTACCTACTTTTCGTGTTCTGCTTGTGACATTCCAATCAAGGCTTGTGTGAGAAACTCGAATCTTAACTTTGCAATAATTTTGTCACGACAAAATAGCCAACAACTCATGTCTATAAAAAATTCGATGTCTAGCGCATGTTTCGCCATTATCGAGTCTTTCAGTAACGTCCGATATTCATCTGCGTTCTTCTGCGGCCTGTTTATTTTCGTTTTGTGCTCTCCGATTCTGATGTGAAGTTCCCTTGCCCTCTGTCCAATATGGACCTTAATGTAGTCGTTTGACTTAATTTTGTAGACACATCTTTGGTTCTGTTTGTCGGGAGGCGATCCTTCATTTTCACCAGTGAAGAGTGTTTCTCTTCTGGAAAGCCACTCTCTTGTTATCCTTGTTAGCTTTAGGATGACTTCCGATGTCGATAACAGCAGTCCCAATCCACTCCCTTTTGGGTTTCGCCACCGAAACCAACACCCTTCGTAACTGACACCTGATCAAACTAGCTGGATATCAACCACTCCGAAGTTTGTGCTTTACTTAAATTTGGGCTGGAGTTCAGAATTGCCCCATTGTCAGTTGGCTTCTCGTGCACTGTGGCCCTTAGTTTCCCCCCGATCTTGTGTCATGTAGTCTAAGGAGGCCAGTTTACCCGTACTAAATTTGACAGGTGGACTCACTTCATTTGGATAGTTTTAAAATTCGCTGACCTTGTCTCGTTCTGTCACGATAAAAGTATCATCCACATAACGTCAGAATACCCTGAGTTGGCACGGGAATCCGGTCAAAGCATTCTGTTCCAAAGTTCCATATAATAATTGCTAAAACGGTGGGTAATGGAGATCCCATTGTCACACCTTGTTCCTGAATGTAAACCAGGGAGTCAAAAACGAAGTGCGTGAGACTCAGACATACTTTTATCTCCTCAGCTATTCCCTCCACACTAAGCTGTGTCCCTTCTGAAGAAGTGGTGTCTGCTAGTAGCTGTCGCTTGGCCATTACTAAAGAGCCCCCTTCGGGTGAACTGATGTCAAAACTTACAAAAATATCGTCTGGTCCCACGATGGCGTCTGCTATTTTGCTGACAAAGTCATATGAATTCTTAAAGTAAGTACTAGATTTTCCGGTGAGGGGTTTTAAGATACCTGCCGAGAATCCAGTCAGCTCATGGGGTGGGGAATCTGCTGTTGATCTTACCGGGACATCTGGTTTTTGGATTTTCGATGGGCCGTATAGCCGTGGTTGGGTCGCACTTTTGGGATATAGTCGATACTAATCACCTTGTCGTAAGTGGTTTCTCACGGACCGCAAGCATTTGTCAACTTCAGCTTTACTCCTATTCATTATAGATGTAATATTCGCAGTATCGAGCACCCGGTAAGGACCCTCAGCTAGATCTTGCTTGACCTTCTGTAGATAATCACTCTTGTTCATAACAACAGTGGCCGTACCCTTATCTGCCCTTATAATCACTGTGTTGTCCACCTGTTTCAGGGTGTTTAAAGCTCTTCGTCTTTCTGGTGTGATATTTGAGCTCCTGGCCGCGGGGACTTAAGGCTGTGACCAGCTGTACCAGTAGCTTTCCCGCTTCCATTGGTGGAAGTTTTTGAACCACAAATTCACCTCTATGGATTGTTTCTTCCGCTCTTACCACCCTTTTGCTTGATGAAAAATTCAAGCCTTTTTCAACAGAATCCTCCTCCTCACTTAGCGGTCTATATGACAAATTTACTACGCTACAATAGCTAGTAGGCGGCTCAGACACAGTCATGGGTTCAATAGAAAGCTGAGTCTTAGAAAGTAACTTTTCGAGGTGTCCGGTGGCTCAACCAGAAGAGATGTTATCGATTAAGGTGCTCTCCAAGCCTCTTTTGTTGAATATGCAATGGTTCTCTCAGTTTGTCTCTAGCCTTGCCAATCTAACGCAGTCGCTGAAAATTTGCGGACACATAGTCCATACTTATTTTCAATCAATTGTAAGAAGTATGGAACTGACTAAGAAGTCATCATTTCTGAAGGACTCGGTAAACAGTCGATAGTTTCTAACTAGATGGCGTTTCGCTTTTGACACAAAACCATCTGGGTCAAGGCAAGTGGTATCGATTGTACCCAAAAAGTGCAGTCCAACCACGACTTTACCGGTTACCGAAAATTCACAAGGAAGGTATCCCCATAAGACCAATAGTGGATGGCATAGGTTCACCACCACATGAGCTGGCCAGATATCTAGCAAGTATCTTTAAACCACTTGCCGGCAAGTCACCCACACACATCCAAGATTCGTATGACTTTGCTAAAAAAGTAGCTGGGTTTCAGATAGAGCCAGACGAAGTCCCGGCTGGTTTTGACGTCAATTCGGTGTATACCAACGTCCCTAAAGCGGACGCTGTGGAAGTAGCGAGAAGACTTACTGGCAGAGACAACGCTGCAAGAACGAATGCAACTCTCCGTAGACGAGATAGCTTAAGGCATAAAAGTATGCCTAAACCTCAGTCAATTTGTTTTTGACTCAATTATATACTCTCAAGAACAAGGTTTAGCGATGGAATCACCAATATCCCCGATCTTGGCCAACATGTACATGGAAGACTTCGAACAGAAAGCTTTAAACGGATTCGAGTGTCCACGAAGGGTGTTCTGGCGTTACGTAGATGACACGTTTGTTGTGATAAAGCGGGATAAGGTGGACGAGTTCTTTCAACATCTGAACACATTGAACCCTCACATTAAGTTTAGCATGGAGCTAGAATCCACATCGGGTACACTAGCTTTCCTTGACTGCATGACACGCAAGAGCAATGGGAAATTAAAAACCACTGTATACCGGAAATCAACAGATAGCTGTGCGGTCTTAAACTGCTCCTCTGCACATCCAAAAGTAGTATATGCTAGCATAGCCTCAGCGATGTTTAGAAGAGTGAGATCACTGTGTACAGAGGAGGTGGACCAAAGAGCAGCACAACCTGAGGTAAAAAAGCGACTTCGAGATAGCGGATACCCAGTGGGTCTAATTAAGCGGCAACTAAGACAGGTATTGGTGCCAACACCAAGGCCCAACAAGGAGTGGATCGGAACAGTGGTCATTCCATACAAAGCAGGGACATCTGAAGTCATTAGAAGGGTACTGAATACGGCTAACAGTATAGTAGCTTTCCAGAAGGGGAAAACTTTACGCTCGGTGTTGGTACATTTGAAGGATCGCCTTCCGGTTGATAGGACTAGGAACTGTGTATACAAAATGAAATGTAACGACTGTACTAAGGTTTGTATAGGTCAGACAGCCAGGGAATTGCACACCAGAATCGGTGAGCATAAACGTTCCACTAACAGACCACCGAGAAACGCAGAGGCGTTAGTCAAAGATTCAGCAATGGCAGGGCATGCTCTAGACGCTGGGCATAGGATAGGTTTAGAAAATATGGACATCCTGAGACGGGGTTTAAGATTCACACCACAGCGACTGGTGGCCGAGGCGGTGGAAGTCGCCAAGCGTCCGAGTGTGAATAGAATAGAGGGGGTAGAACTTGCAAACGTGTGGAGAGCGGTCCTAGATCAGCCGAGATGACACGAGGCGATGTGCAATTATCAGCGAAATCGCCTGGGTCCAAAAGTACAAAATCCAAGTAGAGTTAGATCCAATTAACCACCCCACTCCCATCCCCAAACCAATTGTCCCAGCACCCTTGGACGAACACAGGTGAACGAAATATGTGAATGACCCCAAGAGAAAATTTCCATTAAGGTGTCCTAGACTGAAGAAGCAAGGACGAAAAAATCCTGGCTCATCATAAAGACGAACCCCCCCCTAACCGGTCTATCGTAAATCTTAGTCATCCCCACTAATCAACAAACAGGAACATCAGACTGAACACCCAACACCGATCACGTTAATAGTCATAAGGAATCTCACGGATTGGCTTCCTGACTGCCTTAAAACCCAATCAACCTACTTACTTACTCACTTGGCCTGACGAAGTTTTTGTGTGAAAAGCGAAACTTTGCTCAGCAATGAATCCACCGATTGTTTACCGAACCCCTCTGAAAGGTTGAATGTTGTTTAAATGGTCTTGTCAGTTAGTGTGGCTGCCTAAATCCTGTGGCTGATAGGTTGCGGGAGTTTCAAATTATTTTTGATTGTGTTTGGTTTCTTAATCTTCCACCTCAAAGTGCTTCAATTGATGATTCATCTTGCGTGCCACCGGCAGATTTTGCTGATCTGTGTGATTTTGTGAGTGCTACGACAATTTGATTGGGGTGTTGGTCGTGTTCCGTTACAACTGCCACCTATGGTGGAATATCGCCTGTCAATCGTACCCGTGCAGTGTTTCATTTCTGAAACGCTTCCCTTATGTTGGCCGTTTTCAGGACACTTCAGACGTCCCTCGTTTAAATGGAATAGAAGCAGTCCCCAACTATTCCCTGTTGAGTGTCGCCGGGTCCGATACCCTTAGTTTAATCAAACTAGCTGGACATACGCTATCTAGAATCTTGCTGTTTACTTCACCTTAAGCATCTGTCCGACCAACTTCTGTGCACACATGAATTGTACACGATAAAACACTGGCGAGGTATTGTTCATGAATATTTCCTCCAGATTGACCGACGAATAGTTCAAAGTCGCCTCAGTGACATATCAATTCCGGTATACTGTAGTTTTCAGTTCGCCAGGAGCCCAAAAATGCTAGTGAACCCAAACTTGACTCTGTTCACATAATAACTTTGATATAGAGTTTCTTTTTTGAAGTAAGTGTAAAATTTATCAACATTATCTTTTCCAATCTTCAATGAGTACAGGGAACCGGCTAAAGCTCTCTATTCGAAATATAACACAGAAATCCTCGTCATAACCATGGATACAAGGGTTGCCACGGCTGGAACTCGTTTTCGGGCATAAATCACAGAGTGAAAATGGAGTGATTGAGGTTCAGTTATGCCTTCCACTAGTTCATCTACGGTGAGCTATGCAGGTGTAGTTTCTGTTGCTTCTTTGGTTATCTAAGTAACAACATGAGTTGAGATCGGAGCTACCGTGCCCGTTGCTGAATTGAATCGATCGCGTCAACCTGCCTCATTGTTGTCTTTCATGCGTACTGGTTCACCGAAAATAGTGGAGTTATTGACTTACAACCCGTAGCATGTATGGCTGGTGCGTGCATTGACCATCAGATGATTTCGGTAGCAAGTCGAACACACAGGATCGGCAGTTAGTACAGTTTCATTCGTAATAGTGGATTCCGGTCCTCACTTAATTGGTTAGCTACCTATGTTCGACGTGACCTCAAATGACAAAGTGGAGTTAAGGCGCGTGCTTACGGTGCGCACACGAATTTGGGTTTGGACCGTTGGCTGAGGGAGATGTTGCGTACATAAACTAGAGCCTGTCATTTGAAGGCACAAGATGTCTGTCTAGAGAAGAGCCTGGGGAAACTTCGGTGAAGGGATCAGATATATGGCCACGCTCGCAGCCACTTCCATGAGCATGACAATGTTGCACGTGTCTTTGGGAATGGTGTTGTTTTTCAGCTTGATTATCGATTACTTCATCAATTTCAGGCTGAACGAAAGGCCAAATTAGTGCCGGTCTCAAAGCTCTGGTGCTTTTAGCCACACAAACCAATGGAGCAGGCGATTCAGCTGGCGTGTTGTCGTCCTTAAAGGTCACCCAGAAACGGTTCGAACCTTTCTTTTACATTCAGAACGCAGCAGAGTTTGAGCAGCGTTTGAGAAAGCGTTCTTGTACTGTCTCCAGGTTACGGGTTCGGTGCTCGCAAACGAAGATCATCGGGCCATCATAATGCTTCCGTCCCTTTGTTACCATCAAAGTCTCCTGCCGATCAAATTCATATATTATGAAAAAGAATCATGGTAATGTGGGTTTAGGCAGCAGTGTGTGTTGTCACAGCGACTGTAATACGAAATGTTGTATAAAGTTTCTGTTTCCATTCGGAATATATGGGACTAGTGTTGAAAACGGACGTTAGTGTATGCGATGTGTTTTGTTGTAAATGTTTGTGTACGAATGAGAAGTTTTGGGAGCTGAGGATGCTGAGAGGCTGTTGAGGAGCATGAGGGGAAAGGTGGTTGGTAGATCTTGTTTCCTCAAAAATTCACCTTCCACCTTTCTCAAGGCAACCCTCATATGACCTGAATTCAGCAGCCTCGACAGATGAGCATTTGTTAGTGTCACTGGTTGGAGTGTGGGGGTGGGGGTAGCGAACGATAGAAAGGAAGTGTAATAGTAAAAGTGATTGGACGGTGAAAACAGAGCTACGGAACCTAGAGTCATCTTCGAACAGCTCTAATGGCAAAATGTGAAAGCACTGTGAGTGGACAGGATGGATCAACTTCCTTTGGTCTCTGACTGACCAGTTTTCGTTGATTGTGGTTTACTGGGTGCTGATGAGTTGTTCGCTGGAGCTATGTTGGTTTCGTCGTCTATTTGCTCACTAGACACCGTCACTTCAGGCAAGATGAAGGTGGCAGGTAGTTTATTTTCTGTGCACTCATCCGACTCTGTCCCGTCGACGTCGGTGTGCTCTTGCAGTGCGGACGGCTGACCAATGCCAAAGCCATACAGGGCTGCTGAACTTGCTGCTGCCGCCGCCAGTGCCTAGAAAGAGTGAAAAAAATGCAGAGCTAAGTTTTTAAGAGCCTCCCAAGAAGTGTCCAGTGCATTCTGAATCCTGATTCGTGAATGATAGGAGCGACATTTGAATTGAGATCAATTTTCTGTATTTTTACTCTTCTAAACCCGTAGAAATTAAGGTCTAGTCCACGTAGATTTTAGGGCAATCCAGAAATGGAACGCCCATTTTGCAGTGGCTATCTGGCCTGCAGGAAATGCTTCGAGCAGGCACGAATAACTTCTAGAAGCGTTCAACTCTGCAAACATTGGTTTGCTAACTCTCTAGTCCTGTCTATCGTTCTGACTGAAGTCCAAGATATGTTAGTGAGTTATTTGTACATTCTGACCAACAGGCATGCCACCTTAGGCTGGAATGGTGGTGAGAATGTGAAAATGGTCAGTATTGCAACAGTGGTCCTCAAAACGAACGGGGTGAATGCCACCTGCCCTGAATACATGGCAAAACGAGATTACAGTCAATATTACCAATGCTTGAGTCGACGAACCTCTTATTTCTTTCCTTCCCATCTTAGCGCATGAAATCCCTGTGGTTGAGGACTAGAAGTCACTGCACTGGATGTTCTGGCTGTATGCTGGAGATGACGCCAAAAGTAGAATACGAGCTATCTTTGCAATGTACTACTCATAAGGTTGCTGAAAATCCGTTGACAACCTTATGGGCAGTACAGTACAGAGATATACATGTATCGCGATATCTCGAATATCTAGCGACTGAAACATGAGGCGGCCTGGTGCAGCACATTCAGTTGCATGAGAACATCACAAACGAGAGATTTAGCTGGGTTCCAGGTGAGTCACTCGAAAAACCATATTAGTTTGCCAGTGAGTGCATATTTCCTAGAATACGAGCTCTTGACAACCATGACTATGAGATTTTCGATTTGTTCCCACTTCACCCATTGTCCGCACAGCTAGCACTTGTAAGGTATCTCACCTTGGAAGGTACCAAAATGCAACCTATGGGAGCTTTAAATTGTTCGCCACTCCAAGCCCCTGAGTCGAGTTGCAGGTCTTTCTCAAACCAAACGCCAAAATACAAAAAACACATTTAGATGAAGAATATTAGACAGCTTTGGATGAGCTCTCTACGAATGCAAACGTAATTCGCAAAAAGTGGTTATCACAACCTATGTGAAACTTAGAAACTAAAGGCGAAAATGAGATTGATGGAAACTCAGGGCCCAGGGGTACCTGATGAACTCCGAAGGAGGTGAAACAGGCGCTGGGCTGTTCATAGTAGTACTGACCCAGTCTAGCATATTTTGTCTTTAATTTTTGTACCCTTCTGCATCAAGATATGGATCTCCGGATCTGATAAACTGCACTATCTGCAACTTCTAAACTAAACACTCTTCTGTTTTTTATTTTTCATTATTGCGTGTGTGCCTACACATAACATTCTCTATTGGTAACACAGCTTCTTGCTATTGTCTCATGCACCCTTGATTTCCAAAACTCTGGCTTAACTTTTGTCCCAACGGGCATCCAGAACACTTTTCCGTGCTTATCAATTCCAGAAACCTCCGAAACGTTGTGGACATACAGTTCACTTTGCTTCCAGTTCGGAAGTGTGCATTCTCAGTGGCTTCAGCATCCACAGTGAGAAGTGGCTTTCGTTTTCTCTCCAAAATGATCCTGCAGGCCGGAAGGTCGAGTTCCTCACAACCATACTGCTCAACCCTTTGGTTCGCCCCCTAATTTACCATGCATCAGACTGCGCTGCAACTCTCCCAGTCCTCTGTCAATTGGTCGCTCATCTTGTCAATTTTCCCTCCGCTATCTCCTCGAAACTCATTTCACTTCAAAGGGGTATATTCCGACGGCACTCCGCTGATTGCGATAGCGTAAGTCGACAGCCATCTACTGGAATGCTGGGGCTCAGACAATCCTTCAGGTTTTCTGAGGAATATGGGGTTTTTCACCATCCACTTTTTAAAACCCCGGTCTAATCATGCACGTCTGTAGGGGGTTGAGAAGTAAAGCGGATTATGTGGGACTGCTTCTCCTTAGACAATAGCTGAACCTACGTCAAAGCTAAATTAACTGCACGAAAGATAGCCCAAATACCAGAAGCACCAGCTGGGGGTCAGCTCTTTGAAATTTTGAGTGAATTATGTTGCTGTAATTTCGTAAAGGAAGCTACACATCGAGCAGGCACGAATAACTTCTAGAAGCGTTCAACTCTGCAAACATTGGTTTGCTAACTCTCTAGTCCTGTCTATCGTTCTGACTGAAGTCCAAGATATGTTAGTGAGTTATTTGTACATTCTGACCAACAGGCATGCCACCTTAGGCTGGAATGGTGGTGAGAATGTGAAAATGGTCAGTATTGCAACAGTGGTCCTCAAAACGAACGGGGTGAATGCCACCTGCCCTGAATACATGGCAAAACGAGATTACAGTCAATATTACCAATGCTTGAGTCGACGAACCTCTTATTTCTTTCCTTCCCATCTTAGCGCATGAAATCCCTGTGGTTGAGGACTAGAAGTCACTGCACTGGATGTTCTGGCTGTATGCTGGAGATGACGCCAAAAGTAGAATACGAGCTATCTTTGCAATGCACTACTCATAAGGTTGCTGAAAATCCGTTGACAACCTTATGGGCAGTACAGTACAGAGATATACATGTATCGCGATATCTCGAATATCTAGCGACTGAAACATGAGGCGGCCTGGTGCAGCACATTCAGTTGCATGAGAACATCACAAACGAGAGATTTAGCTGGGTTCCAGGTGAGTCACTCGAAAAACCATATTAGTTTGCCAGTGAGTGCATATTTCCTAGAATACGAGCTCTTGACAACCATGACTATGAGATTTTCGATTTGTTCCCACTTCACCCATTGTCCGCACAGCTAGCACTTGTAAGGTATCTCACCTTGGAAGGTACCAAAATGCAACCTATGGGAGCTTTAAATTGTTCGCCACTCCAAGCCCCTGAGTCGAGTTGCAGGTCTTTCTCAAACCAAACGCCAAAATACAAAAAACACATTTAGATGAAGAATATTAGACAGCTTTGGATGAGCTCTCTACGAATGCAAACGTAATTCGCAAAAAGTGGTTATCACAACCTATGTGAAACTTAGAAACTAAAGGCGAAAATGAGATTGATGGAAACTCAGGGCCCAGGGGTACCTGATGAACTCCGAAGGAGGTGAAACAGGCGCTGGGCTGTTCATAGTAGTACTGACCCAGTCTAGCATATTTTGTCTTTAATTTTTGTACCCTTCTGCATCAAGATATGGATCTCCGGATCTGATAAACTGCACTATCTGCAACTTCTAAACTAAACACTCTTCTGTTTTTTATTTTTCATTATTGCGTGTGTGCCTACACATAACATTCTCTATTGGTAACACAGCTTCTTGCTATTGTCTCATGCACCCTTGATTTCCAAAACTCTGGCTTAACTTTTGTCCCAACGGGCATCCAGAACACTTTTCCGTGCTTATCAATTCCAGAAACCTCCGAAACGTTGTGGACATACAGTTCACTTTGCTTCCAGTTCGGAAGTGTGCATTCTCAGTGGCTTCAGCATCCACAGTGAGAAGTGGCTTTCGTTTTCTCTCCAAAATGATCCTGCAGGCCGGAAGGTCGAGTTCCTCACAACCATACTGCTCAACCCTTTGGTTCGCCCCCTAATTTACCATGCATCAGACTGCGCTGCAACTCTCCCAGTCCTCTGTCAATTGGTCGCTCATCTTGTCAATTTTCCCTCCGCTATCTCCTCGAAACTCATTTCACTTCAAAGGGGTATATTCCGACGGCACTCCGCTGATTGCGATAGCGTAAGTCGACAGCCATCTACTGGAATGCTGGGGCTCAGACAATCCTTCAGGTTTTCTGAGGAATATGGGGTTTTTCACCATCCACTTTTTAAAACCCCGGTCTAATCATGCAGGCCTGTAGGGGGTTGAGAAGTAAAGCGGATTATGTGGGACTGCTTCTCCTTAGACAATAGCTGAACCTACGTCAAAGCTAAATAACTGCACGGAAAGATAGCCCAAATACCAGAAGCACCAGCTGGGGGTCAGCTCTTTGAAATTTTGAGTGAATTATGTTGCTGTAATTTCGTAAAGGAAGCTACACACAAATTCGCGGAAGACTTTGACAGTCCACAACAGGTTTCGCGCTTCTTGGAGCTCATCAGGTAGGCGCAGTCCCCGAGTTTCCGTCAACTTTATGTTCGAATTAAATTCAAATTGGACTGATTGCGACAAATACACTCATTTGCAAATAAATTTGGTTTTCACGGGAGACTCCAGTGAACCTCTCGTTTATGATGTTCTTCAACTGAATGTGCTGTACACAGGCTGCTTCATGTTTCAGTCGTTATGATGTTCGAGATATTGCAGTATATTTTCATAAAGGAAACTACTCACAAGGTTGCTGAAAACCCTGACAACACACGACCGGTTTTGCCCTTCTTGGGGCTCATCAGGTAAGCGCAGTCCCCGAGTTTATGTCAACCTTAGGTTCTACTTGGATCCCAAATAGACTGTCGAAGAGGATACTAGTCACAAGGTTGCTGAAAACTCTTAGACGGCCCCCTGAGAGATTCAGTTGAGTCCCCCGTGAAAACCGAATTGACTTGCAAAGGAGTTTATTTGTCTTAGTCTGTCGCTACTTTTTTGTACCTCACTGCTTCCAATAATAGACCTATCTGGAAGTTCGAAATTGGTTGCTTTAGCAGAAGTGAGAATTTTGTTCTCCTAGCAACTTTGCACGACATTACCCAGCCTCTAACTCAGCCGCCTTTGTCATTTATTACTGCCATGGGTGTTCACCTGTCGTTGTCAGAAATAAACATTTCCAAATCACTTGGTTGAAATAATTTTTGCTGCCGTTCTATTATGTAACTGAACTCCCAACTCTACCTCGACCACCTGAAGGCTCTTTCGTCTACCTGCATCAGATGATGTCTTTTGCTGAGGGTTGCAGTAGTTCATCTGTGTTTCCGATTTCCGTTCTGACTATAACGAATGCTGCCCTTGCAGTCAAATGTGCCTCGACCAAGGAAACACGACGATCCCACAGCAATTATTTTATTCGTAACCACCTTAATTTGTCAGTACCTGACCCGACCACACAAACCTTTCGTCAGCAAGAATTCAAGGCACTGTCATTTTTAGACAATGGCTGAGTGTGCGGTCGTCACTCTAGCGATTCTGACTCATTAGTTTGCGGATTAGTTCATTCACATGGGTAAGAACTGCCGCCGAACACACTGCAACCAGCCGGTTTCTACTGCTCCCTCCTTACGTAAACCTGCTCTTAAAGTCTCCCTGTGTACACGGCCATTCGGATGTAAATAACATCTTTTCGGATGTTTTAACAAGGAGAAGATGATAGTGTTTTTATAATGAGCACGACAACCGCATCGGGCACAGTAAAACAATGACTTATGCGGATTTTCTGCAGATACTCCAAGGAAGAACTAGGCTTATAGGACCCAGTAAAACTACAGTAAGACTAAATGGAATATTCCTCGTCCAACAGTCTACACAATTTAAACCAATCTACGGCAGCATTGGAAACGCTGATTACAGGTGCATCATTTGGCTATGAGTTTCTCGCATTTTATTCGGTAAAGGTGGATGACCTCACACCTGGATTACTTCCATCAACCTTGATTCCAACGCCTGTGATCCACAAACCTTTGAGTGTGGCATTGCGGATTTACTGACGAAACTTCTCGCACGCATTGTTGATAACATCATGTAAATATGAAATAGTAAAACTAAATGGAAAGACCTGAGAATGAAAGTGAACTACTTTTCAAATGGAGACAAAAGTACACTGCTCAAGAGAATCGCTGGACTTGGTCCTGGTCAGTGATTATTCATAGGGGGCACTTACCGTCTGACTAGCAGTGAGAATGCCTAAGGCATCAGTTGAACCCAAATCTGCGGTGCTCGTAACTCGCTTCATCACCTCCTTGGTGTGTGCCTGCGTCAATTTCTCGGCAACACTGAGTTTACTCTGAAAGAATCCTGTATCGTCGATTATGCCGGTTCCAGCTAGCCCGCTGATCACAGAACCACCCAACCCGTAGCCAACTTGCAACTGACTACCAGTGTTCATTACAGCAGTGGTTGGCAGTATAGATGCGCTTGCGTTATTGAGTCGCGACCGCTTCAAAGATTCGTTCGATCGAATCATACTGATAAATTCGGCACGGTGTTCATCTCGCGCGGGTCCCCACTCTTGAACGGGTTTGACGAATTCTCGCAGGAGCTAAAGTTGAAATGGTGAAGAGGGATTTGAAAACGAGTTAGTTTTGTGTGGGGGTGGCTGGAAAAAGGTGACTGAATGGCTGGTCTGTTCTGAAGAATGGAAACTTTGGGGCCTTGCTCAGAGTCAGTTT